AATTGTATTTTTAGGATGGTCCGGAAGTATGTGTTAGCCTAAATGAGGCTTAGGGAGTTTACTTATTGAGATTTTATCTCATTGTTGTATTCTAACCATTTCAGATCCCCAACCATGAATGGTCCTCCACAACGTTTTAGGGCACTGATGGATATGAACCATCAGTTGACGGAGTACCCGGTCGGAGAAGATATGGTTTAACATTAGGCATGCCACGCTTTGTGAGTGGACGAAGGGTTTGCTTTTTGGAGGCCGCATACCTTTTTTGCGTGATTTTATCGAGATGGGGATGAGTTGCATGGTCCACTCCGAGGATTTGATGTTCCGCCCGAGGATGGCGTAGGGGAGTGGGATCCCATGGAGATAGATCCTCCCGATGGGGCCGTCACCGATCCTGACACCGGCCCAGATGACTCAGACTCCGACTCGGTTCACTCGTTGATTGACCCGGGGACGCCTCCGGGGTACCACGGGGATTGATTATAGGCTTAGTCATCCCGCCTTTTTGGAGCGCCCTCTTTTGATGGAAAAGTTAAGCTAACCGACCACCCGATCTTTTTTGCTTATGCGTGATCCGTAGTTGTAGGCTTTAGTAAGACTTGTATATTGTATCTCCTGTGATTAACTCTATGTTTATATAAATGGCTTCGTTCTTTTGAGTATCATTGTGTTTCCTTTACTATCCCTTGCTTGGCTGTTGTTTGGGGTGTTCAAAGTTTGCTTCCGCTTGCGTTCTTTCGTTGGTAAGTCCTAGGACGTCGTATTCGAACAACCATTAGTGGGATGTTGTGAGCTCGTAGGGTTCGGGGCATGACAGTCGGCTAGTTCGACCCTCCCCGTAGCTTGCGAGGTGGAGCCATGGTGAGGCTTGAGCTTGCGTGCGACGGCGATGGTGAGGCCGACCTCGCTAGACCGTTGTTGGCGAGGCCGACCTTGCCGGCTCAAGCCTCTGATCAGTCATTCCTGCTACTGGCTAGAGGTTGAAGATAAAGAAAAGAAAAAAAAAGAAAGGGAAAGAAAAGAAAAAAAATGGAAAAAGAAAAGCAAAGGAAAAAGAAAAGAACAAAAAAATTATTACAAAATTCGAAAAAAAAAAATGCCACGTTAGTGTTGGCCAGACGACCGGCGCCGGTCGGCGTCCATGTCCAGCTGACCAAAATTGGGCGGATGGACTGAATTGGTACAAATGCAAAAGGTTTAGGACTAAATTGACAAAATTATAATAGGTTTATGACTGTTTTGGTAATTTTTCTTTTGCACACTAAAATTTTATTTTATTTTTGTCATAGCACACTGGAACTTTTACACGTTGAAATCTTAGATAATTTATATCTATCGTAATTTTTATTGAGCTACATAAAACCATCGGAGAATTAGAATGACTGACTCACCAAAACTTCTTTAGACTGGCCATGGATTACATGAGATCCATCTTATGGTAGATTGCACAAGATAAGTCATAAAATTTTAAAAAAAATACGTGGATTCCATGGTACACACTAAAATTATGATCGAATAAATGTGATTCAAATGACTCAAAATTCAAATATGTAGATATGTGTAAGTTCTTCTAGATCCATTATTCTGTCGATGACCGTAATATTTGTGTTTTGAAAAGTAAAAAAGGGAAAAAAAAAAGAAAAAAAAAGAAAGGTTGAAAAGTCAACTGAATGAGAAGAAAGGGCACGTTCAGCCGTACGAGCCCGAGAGGCCGAGACGCATGCGAGAAAGGGGAAAAGAACGAGAAAAGAAGAAGAAAGAAAGGGAAAGAGAGGAAAGGGAAAGGAAGGAAAGGGGTTTTGCAAGTACGTGCTAGGGATGTCTCGCAAAGCCGATTTAAGTACGTATCTCGGTAAATGTTCACGTCTCTTGTTCGTCCAATCGAAGTAATTTTCGGAGTTAGGTCATATATTCAAATTTGTGAAATTCGAGCCATGTAGCCTTTTCTGATTTGTTGAGCTTTGGGATTTCATAGAAATTGTGAATTATGGTGTTATGGAGCCATGGGTTTGACGGGAGTCGGTTTAGAACAACGATTTCGTCAGAGTGAAATTTTAGTGTTTCGTGTGCGATTTCGCATTGCGTTTAGGTTTGAGTAATCGCTTGGAGTGAGTGATTTGTTAGCGCGTAAGAGTCGTTATGTTAGCGTTTAAGTGTAATTTAGCCGTTTCATAGATGCTGCAGTGTTTTACTTGGTTTTGACGTCGATTCTTGTTTAATTGCTAGGATTATGAAATCATCGGTTCAAGTAAGCGTCGTTGTTTGGTTTTCGGGCATTCAAGGTGAGTGGTACTATATCTTCTATGTATTTCTAAACTCATATCTTGAACGTAGTAAAGATTTGGTATATTATGAGTTATGAAAAAGCATGTTTGTTGCATAAAAATCTAGATCCTGCATTTACTACATTTTGGTATTTGCTAATGGTTTAAGGAAATGTTTTAGAAAATACGTTGCAAAAGGTTGTATAAATATACTGATTTGTGAACCTGGTCTATGAAATGGTTTGTGAATCATATTCTAATTTATTGAATGAGTTCGAAAATGATGGCAGTTGAGCTGAGTTGTGAAAGATTATATGTTATGGTTTGTGAAACCACTATGTGATATTGATTTCGAATTGATTTGTGAATTGTGAAGGATGCTGTTGTGAGTTTGTATTGGTGCTCAATATAGTTATGAGACCATTAAGGGGCTTGTAAAATTTCCGCATACTAGTTTTGGATATCCTTGTGAGCCAAACCACCAGGAATATAAGTAGAGACCTAGCCAAGGGAAGAATCTTGGTCGCCTTGTCATGGGGTGTTATGCACGACCATAGTTAGATATTTGAGCACGAGTTTATTCAATGGATGGACCATTGACTTGTGATTTGAAATTAGTCGATGGAATGGACCGTTGACGTTTGATTTGATGGAGATTAATCCATGGAATAGACCATTGATATGTGGTAAGAGATTAATCAATGATCTGGACCATTGATATTTGTTTCTATAGTGATGATTTAAATGAGTATTTTCTAAATTGTATAAAATTTGTTGAAATGAAACAATTCGTATATGATTTGTTATGTATATTAAAGAGTTAGAATATGAGTTTTTGGTATATATGCATAGTGACTGATCGATCTGCTTATAAGAGATATATACTACTCACTGAGCTATGGTTGCTCACCCTTTTTTTTCTCAAATATTTTCAAGTCCCTCAGTTAGCGGCCAATAGAGCGAGAACAATATCGAAAACAGTTTTTTGGAGTTGATTTTTTGGTTGTGTTTGAGACTGCGTCCTTCTGGTGGAAGGACGATCATGCCATACTCCTATTCTGGTAGGATTTGGGGTGTGACAATAACAAATTTAAATAAATTACACCACACATATCCTGAATGTTAAATAACCCTGTATTTTCACGGTGCGAATGTATTTTGAATTCTAAGTACATGAAAAGTTCAAGATTTAATAAAAAGTTAATACCACGAAAAACCCCAAATTGGTACACTCGTAACAAATTTACCCTTAACTAATTTTTTGATAAAAAAAAATCTCAAACTGGTACACATGTGACAAATTTACCCCAAATTAATTTTTTGACCACCAAAAATCCTAAACTGGTACACCGGTGACAATTTTACCCTCTGTTAGCAGACCAATTTGAGGTTTTTTGTGATATTTATCCTATAGATGTTCACGTGGACTTGCCACATCACCGTACCACGTCACCATGTATCATCCACATTAACAAATTTAACGATAAAATTTGACGGAAGCTAGCAAAGGATAAATTTATCACACGTGTACCAGTTTGAGGTTTTTAATAAGAATGTGCAAAAGAATTGGGAACCGCCCAGAACAGGACTGAACCGGCCCGGAACCGATAGTTGTCATGGGGATTGGTCTGGTTCCCGATTCTAATTTCTTAAAATCGGTGGATACCGGTCCGATTTCCGATTCCGGATGTGAAACCGATCGTTCATCCATCCGGACCAAACCGGTATACATGTATATGTATATTTAAATTCAAGATTTCAAGGACTAGACCCTCTCTCTCCAATTAATACAACACTCTCTCTCTTCTCTGTGTCTTGCACGATCAACCATCGGCTGTCTCCACTTTCCTCTCTCTTCATGTAATGCGGCACTCTCTCTCCTCTCTCTTCTGCGTCCATCTCTCTCTCCACTTTTCTATCTCTCTTTTCAAAACTCTTGCATCCCTCTCTCTCTTCAATTAATAGCACCTCTCTCTTGCAAGATCTCTCCTCTCTCTCTTAACAAAGCTACGTACATGGCGATTTCTTGATTCTCATTGAGTCAAAGAAAATAATTTCTTCGTTTTTGATTTCTGAATATGCCTCACCATTTGCGTTCATTATCTTTCACAGCCTCGTTGAAGAGAATCACCTCGAACCACTGCCCTTTCGTAAAACCCGACTCTCGCTCCCCCTCTCTCCCCACCCTCCACTCTCGTCGCCATACTCATCTCACCCCTCGTCTCGCCCTCTCCCACCTCTGCTTCACCCCACTCAACGACCCGTGCCCGCCCTTCCTCCGCCACTCCCTACCCTTCTCCGCCTCCCCGACCGGTTCTATGGATCCACCCGGGAACCGGACCGGACCGGTGATCCGGTTCCCGAGTGGGTCTAGGAACTAGTGGGCGGTTCCCGGTTCCCATTTTTTGGAACCATCCCTTAGCGGGCGGTTCCCAGTTCTAGGGTGGGAATCGCCCGTCCGGACCATGCTCACTCCTAATTTTTTATGGTCAAAAAATTAATTTTTGGTAAATTTATTACAAATATACCAATTTAAGATTTTTCTTAGTCAAAAAATTAGTTTAGGATAAATTTATTATAAATGTATAGTTTGGAGTTTTTCGTTATATAAACCTTTTAATAAAATCACAATTTTATTTTGACATTAGCTCATGAAAAATCAAAATGTCGGATATATAATATAAACCGTACAAAAAAAGCTATAAATCATGCACACAAAAAATAGGCCTCTGTAAATGACCACAAACAACATAAATTAGTAACCTAAAATGTAGTAACAAAAACATACATTGACAGAAGACAGTAAACTTTTTCTCGGATCATGAATCCGAGTGAATTTGGTTGTTTACTTAAATCTTTCCGTTGATCGAGCATACAACTCGCATTTATTCCACATATGTTATATTTTAGCGCGACCAAATCACAGTGGATATGCTTCAATGATGGACAACAAGGAAGGGGTTTTGATGATGTTGTAGCGAGGAAACCCCCCCTCCTCCAAGATCTTCTTCCATTCGAGTTCGTCCCTCTCCTTACCACCCGAGCTATGTGCGATCATGAGCAGATCGAACACTAGTCCGATCTCATCGAACATGCCATCGCCCTCTGGTTTCAGCACAACCTCTGCTATGATCACCTTGCCATTGTTCTCTGGGATTGCTTTTCTGCAATTTTTTAATATCTTGACGCAATCTTCGTCGCCCCAATCATGCAGGATCCACTGTAAAAAGAAAGACAGAATTATTGGAGTCGTGTATCATGGTTTTCTTGAACTGTACTTAATGAGTTTGTTGATTGTGTAATTTCTATGCTTATGAAGAGTTGACACAATTGGCTAAGAAGTAACCCAATTTTTTTCCAAAAAAGAAAAAAGGCTACATCTCTCTCCTCTCTCGCGCTTGCTCCACACAAAAAGCGCCTCGGCCGAAATCCACCGAGATCATCATCACTGCCCGAAGGCCTTAGACGTCGTAGCGCCGCCCGTATCGCCGCCCCTCTCTCGCTTGAGACGAGGCGCTCACTCTCTTCGCTATCCCGCTCTCTCTAAGTCTCAGGTGGCGACATGATTACGACCTTGGCAACCTCATACCTAAGATCTCCTTGAGGCAAGGGCGATGGCTTTTCGAGGTTGCGACATTAGATCAATGGCTGCCTAAGGTCGCGATGAAGGAGATCGTGAGAGAGAGAGAGAGGGTGTAGATGGAGGTAGTTGAGAGTAGGGTTGTTGACGACGTGACGCATCTATAGCGGGTGATGTACGACACTTTAGAACTCCTACGAGACGTGAAAATGTTAAGTACGCCAAGTGATGTCATGTCAACAAAATTATAATTCACTTAGTGATTGACACGTGTCGTTCGACTCGTGTCGTTCGACTCACTGTCAGGGATATTTTATCCTGTATGGAGCCCACTTTCTCTCTCCCCTCATGTCCCTCAAGAGAGTCATGGCCACGGGCCGGTTTCGGCCCGGTCAAACCCGGGCCCGGCCCGCTGACCGGGCCCGCGGTTTGGAACCGGAACCGGTCCGTGCCGGTTACAGAAATTTTTGAACCGGCCCGGTTCAAAAAAAAAAAAAAAAAGAAGCTGCAGATCTGGCGAGGGTTCGACCTCGCCGGCGTCGGGCGAGGCCGGCCTCGCCAGTTGCAGGCGAGGTCGAGCCTCGCCGGCGTCGGGCGAGGCCGGCCTCGCCAGTTGCAGGCGAGGTCGAGCCTCGCCAGATCTGGCGAGGGTTCGACCTCGCCGGCCTCGCCAGTTGCCGGCGAGGTCGAGCCCTCGCCCGATCTGGCGAGGCCGGCCTCGCCCAGCCCAGGCGAGGGCGGCCCTCGCCCGACGCCGGCGAGGGCGGCCTCGCCTGAGGCCGGCGACCTCCGCCGGCCCCGGCTATGGCCGGCGGAGGAAGAAAAGAAAAAAAAAAGAAAAGGAAAAGAAAAAGAAAAAAAACAGAAAAGAAAAATTATGAACCGGCCCGGAACCGGTTCCGAACCTGAACCGGAACCGGAACCGGAACAGGCCCGGAACCGTCCGGTTCATACTTGGCCACGAACCGGAACCGGTCGGTTCCGAACCGTGGCCATGACCGAGAGACTCCCTCTTCACTTTCTCGCTGACGCTTCCTCTACAATTCCTTATCTTCTCCGTGAAAACCAAGAGCGGACGACGCCGGTGTGCCTCCCAACAGCTTTGTCCAAATCGGCGTCACCGACGTCTTCTCCATCCCCGGCACCGGAGCGCGAGCACGAGGCTCGCAGCCGCCATGGCCACGGACCTCGACCTCGACTAACCATGGTCGCGAGCTCGTGGTCAAGCGACCATGGCAGTTTGGAGGAGGAAGCTCTTGAGCTTGATCTTTGCGGAAGCAAGGGGAGGACGACGGGTGGAGGTGGAGCGGGCGGGCTTGGCGGTGACGGGGATTTTCAGTGCGAGGTTCCCGACCGTGAGGCACACGAAGGGACAAGCATCCATCGGCGGTGAGCCCGTTGCCGGAGACTCCGAGGGTCCTCTTCTCCGTGGCCGACAATGGCGATGGCTAACTGGCTAGGGCTTGAGGTCAGACGAGGGAAAAGGGGTGAAGCAGAGGAGAGAGATGGGGAAAGAGAGAGATCGAGAGAAAAGAGATGGGCTGAAAATTTAGCTGACACATGTGGGCCCGGACGACACGTGTCCATCACTGAGGGAATTATGATTTGCTGACATTACATCACTGGAGTACCCAATATTTTCTCGAGTGAGACGCCAAGTAGGTTTATACAGTATCTATATCATTTTAGCGTGCGTTTATTTATTTGATTGAAAGTGTTTTCTCCTAATTAGTTTTTGAATTTTTATTCGTTCGATTTTTCGAAAATAATTAGTTAATCAAAAATACTTTTCGATTAAGAAAAATATTCATCCATAAAATTAAAAAATAAATTTCTAAATTTAATAAGATAAAAATATTTTCTGAAATTATTTATCTTGAAATTTTTAATATTTTTTTTTCTTTTTTGCTCTTCTTTCTTCCTCCTTCGCCGGTCGCCAGGCGACGGCCGACGGCCAATGACCAGCCACAGGCGCAGGCTGGCGAGGCTCGAGCTTGCCAAAATCTCGACAAGGCTCCAACTCGCCCGAGGCCAGCGAGCTCGAGCCTCACCGATCTAGCGGTGTGGAGCCTTGCTAGTCTCGTGCGAGCTCAACCTCACCCAAGACAAGCCAAGTCGGCCCTTCCTAGTGGCCTATTGTGGCAGTCACTGAGGCCCGAGGACCAGCAGGGAGGAAGATGGAAAAAAAAAGAATAAGAAAAAAAGAAAAAAGGAAAGAAAAAGAAAAAAATTATTTAAAAATTCGATTTTTTTTTCTTGAGATCAGGTTATGATACTGAAATCATTTTTCAAATGATATATCCAAACACTATTTTCATTCATATATTATCAAACGAAGAAAAAGTGACCATTTTCCTAAAAAATAATTTTTCGAAAAATATTTTCTTTCGTCACGAAATTTTTCCCAAATAAATACACTCTTAAATCTCTTCATTAAGTGAGCCTTGTTATGGCGTCTACTTAATCTACGATTCGGATAGACTTGATCCCCATTGGATCTGAGAACTCTAAAAATAATTTCCCCTCATTATGGTATCACTCAAACAGAAGTATTACCACTTATTGTGGATTCCCACCTTTTTAACACATCAAAAGGCCAGACATGGAAAATTGATCACGTGATTTAGGAAAAATACAAAACTTCACGAATTAATTATCATGCATACTATATTTGACAATAAAACTCACCTTCATGAAAACGGCATCAGCATGTGGTATAGTCTCAAACATGTCTCCCCCAACATGAGTGACTCCATCGTGCGCCGGTGCCGTCGCAACGACGTGATGCAAATCAAAATTAATCCCCCGAATGTGCGGATACGACTTAATGATCTCGGCCAGGGCCCCGCCAATCCCACCTCCAACATCGACCAAGGATCCAATGCTCTTGAAGCCGTCCTTATACCCTTCCACTAAGGCCCTAACCGAGATCCCGCTCGTACACGCCATCCCATCGTTGAACAAGCGGTTGAACTCGGGATTCTCCGATGCGAAGTCCCAAATCTTGCGGCCGTGAGCCATCTCAAATGCGACCCCGCCGGTCCTGACGCAGTCACCGAGGCAATGCCATGGGGACATTAGCCACTGGTGGTCTTCCATCAGCACCATCGGTGCGAGGCTGTTCTCGGACCCAGGCCCCTGGAGGAGCCATCTCGATGACGGGGTGAGGCCGTAGAGTGTCTCGTGACTCTCCCGGCTGCCGTCGGGTTGGCGACAATGTGCCGAGAAGATGTTCTTGCGGACAAGGAGTCTCATGATGCGCGCAAGGTAGGTGGTTCCAAAGGATGGGGAGGGAATGCGGGAGGCTATTTGGACTAGGGTGACAGGCCCGCCACCGTAAGAGTGGATGATGTCCGGTATTCGGAGCTCGACTGCGCATTTCAGCGCCATCGAGTCGGCGAATGCGAACATGAGCTTCCATATGTGTGCTTGGCCTCTTAGGGCTGCTTCAGTATCATCGAGCGATTCCATTCTCTCTCTCTCGGCTTGCTTTTGTTTGGGGCGTAGTATGAGGAACTTAAGAGGAGAGACAAGAGGCGTTGTATTATAGGGGGCCAAAGTTACCGGATTCTGTTCAGATGAGCATTGGGTGGTTGGTTGACAAAGACGGAAGAGACAATTCTAGAGGTGCCGTCTCTCTTTTCATCCATGATTGTTCTTTTATCTTGACCCCACTATGTGTAAATATTTAATCTCACGCTAACTCTATATTTTTTCCAGCTTTAACTCCACTAAATATTTGACACCAAACGCGACAAGAACTAGCCCGTGAGAACAGGGTTTGGTGGCTGGGGCGTCGCCCGACGTGCACAGAGCATGGTCTGCGGGTGGTGGGGCTTGGGTGGTCTGATGGTGGGATTTAGCTCGAAGGGTGGGTTTTGCACAAGCTAGAGGAGAGCTCTTGATAGATGAAAATGAGGGGGATTGTTTGGATTCGAATTCTGGATTTATGCTTGTTAGACAAACTGTTTTTTCCTAAAAAATGGAGCTATTAGGAAATGGACCAATAATTTATTTATAACATATGACTCAACACTGGCGCTTGCGTGCAAGATAGGCTGTAAGATAACTTTCTTTTTTTGGTAAAAATAAGTTAACTTCATTAATGGGGTAACCGGCGGAAGACGAAAACGGGCGAACCTAGTCAGAATAACTTATCGAGAACTTTTAGAGGAATTGTCAGTATTTGAACCCTTGACCTGCGCTCTAAAACGATAATATCACCAATAAATTATACTACAAAACTTCTATATTTTATTGGAAGGACGAAGACAGAGCAACGGAAGTCCTTTATATAGACCACAAAATGATATGGAAAGACGTATACAAGATATACACAATATTCATAGTATCTGTAAGATTTGGTAAATCGCAAAAATTGTCAAATCAAATATACAACATATCAAACTAGATATATTATCTAATAAAAAGAGTGAACACAAGAGATTAGGTGTAGCAAACTATAATATCACCAATAAATTATACTACAAAACTTCTATATTTTATTGGAATGACGAAGACAAAGCAACGGAGGTCCTTCATATAGACCCCAAAATGATATGGAAACACATATACAAGAAGTTATACACAATATTCATAGTATCCGTGAGATTTGGTAAATCACAAAAGATATCAAATCAAATATACAACATATCAAACTAGATATATTATCTAATGAAAAGAGCGAACACAAGAGACTAGGTGTAGCGCTCCGCTGAGCTCGCTGGCTCGAAGAACGTTTTGTATTGAATTATGTCTCAAGTTTGAACGTTTACGAAACCCGACATGATTGGATAAAATACAAGTATAAGCCGCACAATAAAAGCAAAATGAAGGGAAATATCCCTGTAACTAGAAGACAAAGAAGAGGTGCATGCATTTAATACCGCAAAAACCCTCTTGACTAAAAAAAATATCGCGAAAATTTTCAAATTGGTACGCATGTGATAAATTTATCTCAAATTAATTTTTTGACCACAAAAAATTCCAAACTAGTATGTTTGTGATAAATTTATCATCCGTTAATTTTCATTAAATTGGATTAATATCACGAAAAATCATAAATTAATACACTTGTAACAAACGGGAAGTAAAATCTCAAATTAATACGCTCGCCAACTATCACGTATCATCAAATTCAGTAATTTAATAATAAAATATAACGAAAACTAAATAAAAATAAATTTGTCATATATATATCAGTTTGGGATAAATTTGTTATGTATATATCAGTTTAGGATTTTTTGTAATATTAATTTTTTAATTTATATATATCATTTATGAGGGTAAAAAGGTCATTGTCAAGAAAGAAATAAAAGCTAAGGAAAAGACCTAGCCTACTGTAGCTGAACAGTAAAAAAAAGAAGGTGTGTCGGGTTACCGTGTGTGGGGCCAATAAAAGAGTAAAGAAAATAAAAAGTAATATAGATAGGTTTTCTGTTTTTACTTGTGGCCTAGGTTGTCCTTGTCCCTTCACGGGGCCACGTGAAAAACGAAGTCACGAGGAGGAGTTCTAGATGCGGACCTGCTCTGAACACAGTGAAATTTGTGCCGGAGTTTTTTACTTTTGAATGAGTTGTTTATTTATAAATTTGGAATTTGGATTTAATCTAAATTTAAAAAATACTTAAGCGTCTGAATGACCGATTGGATTTTTTTGATTATAATGGGTTATTTACTGTTAGTTCTTCTCTTGATATAAGTACCGATACCCAAATCGAATCATGTAAATTTTTAGTATATTTCTCTAGTACTTTCGCATTAAATTATTTGCAAGATCCAAGTTAGCGCTGCTGCATTCGTTAATATTACATCATTTTGAGTGACCTGGGCGAGGCTCTTCTTGGACTCGGGCTCACCACAACCCAATCATTTTACGAAGAAAATGTAATATTCCTTTTCAAATTAAGGATAAGGCTGAACAAGGACATTTAGATCCGATAAAGAGCTCGACCGACCCCACCCACTGACAAGTCTAGAATAAAATTTACGCCGATTTACTTGCAATAGTTTTGTTCTATTTTTCAAATCCCGTTTAACAAATTTTTCTTCCGAAGAGATTTGTTTGATATATGCACGTGTATGGAAAGTAGGAGAAGAAAATTGGGATAGGCGGTCGAAGAGAGAGGCGGTAGCGAAGGAAGTGGAGGTGAAAATTAAAATTACGTCTGTCCAATTGCTGAAAATAACCTTCGATACTAGTGATTTTGGAAAAAAGAGTACGTGTGTCTTGAATGGGCAACAAGATGGAATTGCATGGCCACAATTGGTAAAAGCATAGCCGCCATCAAATTCTTATGAAGGGACAAAAGTATTGATAAATTCCAAACTTCTCTAAATTGTTCAATCCAATCTCTAATTTTTTTTTTTGCGCAATTACATATCTCTCTATATTACCAAGTTGATCCTTTCGTTTTAAGAACAAAAGGAGATGTTGACCTTGCCGTTTAGTTGTCGTTAAATACCAATGTGGTATTCTGCATGACATCCTCGTCGATAAGGGTTAATAGATATTGTTGATGACTGGGTATCCCCTAGCCTGAGCCTTCCTCATCGTCCCTTGCCCTTCCAACCTCCACCTTCATCATGTTCTTGCCGTGAGCACATTAGATTTCTATCCTTTTTTTGTGTGAAATTTCCATGTCTGCAATAAGTTGGGAACATGCTAATTTGGTGCGGACATGAGTGTCCATATACTAATGTGACGTTGATGTGGTATGCCAAGTTAGTATATCCGTCCATTTAATTGGCGGAAGGATAAACTCGAATGATAAATACATAGTTCAAGGACTTAAATAGGAAAAAAAAATGCAAAGATTAGATTGAACAAATGGAGAAATTCACGGATTATCAATGACTCTACCCCTTTTTTTAATGGTAGAGATAAGTGGATATTGTCGGATATTCTTCACCTCCGCTGAATTGTGAGCATTTCCAGCTGTCATGTTTCTGTTTATGTATAATAATATCGTCAGTACTCTTCGAGACACGACTCCACTTGAACGAATTGGCAGGTAATTAAGGCGATGCTGGGGGTGTGCCCACCTCGACCAAGAAGATACTTTTCTTCTTTTCCCTTTTATTAGTTTTATCCAATAATTGACTTTTTCAGCCTTTATTTTCTTGATGTTTGGATATAATGTATTCATTTGTGCCATGCTTTAGACATTGTGAGATAAAGAACAGTGAAAACAGTGTGCGGCAATATGCAAGTTGTTCAGATTAGAAGTGAGCATGATTCCAGATTCTACCTAGAACCTGACCTGTGAAACCCGAAAGGTTCTAAGTTTCAAGGTATGCAGAATAAGTTGTTCCAAAATTTGAGGAACATGTTTCGACTAGTAGGTTCTAAATTTTAGGTTTTAGGTAGGTGGAACTTGAAACTTGAAATTTTAAACAAGTTTTTTTGTGTTTTTTCTTGATTTATGTCTTCATGTGATCTTGAGATGTTTCATGGCGTTAAATGATGAGTGTATAATTTGGAATCACTAGTCTGAGCTTTCATTTTATGACTTGTTAATGTTTCATTTTTGTGTTTCTAAATATAAATTGTGGTCAGTGAATCGTAGCAGCAAGTGGTGATCATTAAATGTGATGATTCACTACAATTGTTTAATTAATAATGCATGTAGAATCTAGGTAGATCCTAGAACTGACCTTACAACCTGTGACAGGGTAGGTTTCCGGTTCCAACGTACGTAAAGTAGGTTTCAGGTTCTAAAAAATGAGGAACCTGTTTTAATTGGTAGGTTCCAAGTTCCAAGTGAAACTTGTACGGAATTTGAAACCGCTCACCCCTAATTCATATGGGTTCACCAAGATCATGACTAAAAAGAGTTTCTTAAGGCATTATCAAGGTCATTATATATGCTTTGACAATATTAATATTTTTATTTGCAGTAGGCAACTTGTCGCAATGTGTTATCTTTTCAATTTTTGGGCAAAATTATTTTGTGTTGATTGGAATTCATATTATTTATATTGATTTTGACCGGTTCCAGTGGAGCACTCTTAACAACAATGTTTTTGTCTGTCATTTTTCATAAGACCGTATTAGAATTTAGAATTTAGATTTATTTTATTCGTAATAAAGGTGGGAAGGAGCGCCTACCTCTATAGAGACCTCCTTTTGGGGTTAATGCAAGGGTTTCGTACATACTACGAAATATTGAAATTGAGACATAATTATTTCGTATCGCTTGCGTCACGAATTTTTTATATTGGCAAGCTTGTCGCTATAGTCCTACCCAAATATTAGTAATGAGGAAGTCTTTTCACATAAAGTATGTTATAGTTAGGCAATGCAGCAAGAATCCTTCGTAAGTTCGCTCATGATATGAATTGAATTTGTGATCTCGCAGAAAATTGATAACCTCTTTATCTCTATGTCAACCATCTTGGTGGTACAGTAATTCCACGTGCAAAACTGGAATTTGCAGTTTTTGGATATATAAAGCCTGGCGGCCAACTTATAAATCGTCATGTCGAACAAATAATATATCTTACGTACAATAAAAGC